ACTTCTCAAAGCTTGGTAAATACTTTCCGCCTCCCAATGATCTCACAAGCGCTTTTTTATGTTCCAAGTTTTTGTATGTCTTAGCTAAAGTAGTGCCGGAAAGTATCTATTTGACACCGCACTCTAAAACCGTTAGCACCATGAGATTCTACGTACTTTTTTAAATAAGTATTACTTCTCAAAGCTTGGTAAATACTTTCCGCCTCCCAATGATCTCACGAGCGCCTTTTATGTTCCAAGTTTTTGCATGTCTTAGCTAAAGTAATGCCGGAAAGTATCTATTTGACACCGCACTCTAAAACCGTTAACACCATGAGATTCTGCATACTTTTTGACATAAGTATCACTTCTCAAAGCTTGGTAAATACTTTCCGCCTCCCAATAATCTTACGAGCACTTTTTTATGTTACAAGTTTTTGCATGTCTTAGGTAAAGTAATGCCGGAAAGTATCTATTTGACACCGTACTCCCAAACCATTAGAACCATGAGATTCTATATACTTTTTTTATATAAGTATCACCTCTCAAAGCTTCTTAAATACTTTCCGCCTTCCAATGATCTCACGAGCGCCTTTTATGTTCCAAGTTTTTGCATGTCTTAGGTAAAGTAGTGCCGGAAAGTATCTATTTGACACCGTACTCCCAAAACGTTAGCACCATGAGATTCTACGTACTCTTTTAAATAATTAACACTTCTCAAAACTTTATAAACAGTTTCTGCCTTCTAATAATCTTACTAGCGCCCTTCTCAGAACAGAGAAATGGGTGAATAAGTTAAATGTAGTTTTTTGACAGTCGAATTATGTTAAATATTCGTTTCGTAGTTCAGTAATCAATCAAATATTCAAATAAATATTGGTTTGTTTATTATTTTTAAAAAATAATAAGGTGTAGGTAAAGTGTTTATCAGAAACAATAGAACTCGCTAAAAGCAATTTGTTCTAGAATCGAATATAATGCTTCTTAATAAAACTTAATTTTATGATTTTCCAATAAAATCCATTGTTTGAAAGTTTATATAACCCTATTATACCTATATTATTTAAATAGCCGTCAATTTATTTAAGTAGATGGATAAGAATGCTTTGCCTGTTCAGAATTTCTTTTATTTTGAAAAATATTTATATCCAGCCATGAACTAATTAATTAACTGTATTCCTGGTTAATCGCAAGAAAAATTACCAAGCAGCAGAGAGTTTTTTACACTCGTTTCCGGTTTATAAATATTTATATTCAAGTTTGTCCGAAGATTCACATTAATTTTATAATTGTACCTAAGTGTTTATTACCATTATCACAACAGTTATATACGGATGTTAACAATCCTTAGGCGAGAAATAATATACAATTTAGCTCAAAAATGCAGTAAACTTCATTACAGTACCTTAACCGAAATACATAAAGAACGTTAAGAACTTATTAGTTCTCATCGTCACGCCATAGACAGGATCGAAAAATTACCGATCGAAAACCCAGTTGCTCATACGAGAAAGATGATTACTACTAAGTGTTAATAATTTGCCACACCTATATATAAAATTCTACTATAAGGTTGTTAAAGGTGTATGTTTGGAGCACGGCCTTGTACGGGTGCGAAACATGGACAGTGGGAGCGGCGGAAAAGAAAAGGTTAGAAGCGTTCGAAATGTGGTGTTATAGGCGGATGATGAGGATATCGTGGGTAGAAAAGGTTAGAAATGAAGAGGTATT